CTTAAAGTTCATGCACTATTCAGTGAGAAACCAACAGTAATCGCAGTGATCTGGTGTTGGAGGGTGTTCACGGGACATTGTTAGCAACTGTTAGTTCTTAAGCATACTATTGCAATGTACTATTCTAAACCGTACTATACTGTAATGCAGTATGAGACAGTGTCGTACAATATAGTAGACTTGATCATAACAGATTACAATACTATATATATATATATGTATACATATATGTGTATATAGATATATGTATACATATATCTGTATCGCAGTAACCATCTAACATAACACGGCAAAGCACAATATAGCACAGTACAGCGTCATATACCATCGCATGATAAAGCATAGCATGGCAAAACAGAATGAAGCAAAGAAAGCATCCACATTACATGGAATATTTCAGACAAAAGAATACAACAGAGTTTACTATAATATGCCATAGCAGAGTTTAGGGTGATACAACATATCCCTCTAAAATGATGAAACATGAGGAGTTATGATGTAAAACCCTAAAACATATTATGAGACAGCAGTATGTTGTAACATAAGCAGTATAGTGTTCTATCAAATATAACGTGATAACATGTAATATCGTGCTGATGCACTTCAATGCAATATACAGTAACGTAGTGCAGTATACTATGGCAAGACACAATGTAGCATAAGTTAACTTAATGTAGTACCCAATATGCCCTAGTAAACCCAAATATGATACAACGAACTATCAAGCGAATATGAACATATTGCAATCACCTAATACAAGGAAGTAGTATGGTAGAGGATAGTGTCATGTAATATATTATATAGAATGTATGTTTTATTCAAAGATGCTTACACATATATTGCAATATAGCATGACATACTACAGCACAGTTTAACATAATGTTATACGAAAGAATTATCTTATGACATAATACACAATTACAACGTATAACAGAAACTGAATTGCTACAGCTTACTGGAATATACTACGCTATAGCACATTTCATCTCAACGTGAAGCAACATAACAGATGGTTGCACAAACAGCACAACATAAAACCGTACTGCACTTTAGCAACATGAAGCATCCTACAACATAGTATAACATACCTTCATCATCGTGAAACGCACAATACACATACATATATATATATATACACACACATCATGCTGTAGTACATTGAGTATAACATAGAAGAACCTAGTAAAGCATAACAGAACATTACAGGCACAAGTCTTGCTCAGACCGCCTACAAACGACAAGATCCATCGGAGTGTACGAAACTTCACCACCTAGCTAGCCTTGGAGCCAGTGAATGGGTAAGGGGGCGGGAAGGTTCGGGTGGCCAGGAATGGGGGGGGGGGGGGGGGGGGNNGGTCATTGGAGAGGGGGATAGAACATAGTCTGTTACAATATGTTACAGTTTCTAAAAGATAATATGGTATGGGAATATATGACATATATAGAAATAATGCACTTTCAAGAGAATGTCATGCATCATAACCGAATCTAGGTTAACACAACACACCTCTGTAATCTCTGAAGTTAGAAATTGCACAACATAGTAAAGCAGTGTGTTTCCCTATCATATCTTATCATATCATATTCTATCATGTCATGTCATATCGTACCACACCATATCACATCATAATGCAGCATATCATACCATTTGATGTCATGTCATATCATGTTATGATGTATCACCTCGTACCATGCCTTACCGTATCATATCATATCATGTTTTAGTTTTCGATTCAATGTGGTTTGATATGAGGAACAGCACCGACGCAACCCTAACTTAATCTATCCTCGGCCGTGGGGCTGAGGCCAGAGGCTGGAAAATCTTGCGGGTTTTTCTGGCAGCGAAAAAGAGACAAGACTTCTTGAAGGCGCTTCTCGGCTCGATGTTGCATGGGGTAAGAAAATTCTATCGTTGTTCTTTATACTGGTTCTCTTTTTGCTGCGATGTTTAGTCAAGATTTCTTTCGGTTCCCAGATCTAGTGCTCAACTGCACTTGTGGGTTAAGGCTTGCTCCTGATCATTGCTGTAAATGTGGTCTATTATATCCATGGGATTCCGCAGTTCAGGGCTCTCAGCCGAATTTCACTTGAAGTGAAGACACCCGATATGTGGTTACTGTCAAAGACAGTCAGAACGTCGTTTTGTACTGCTGAAGGCACATGCTTTGGCCGAAGAAGGCTTACAACCAGAAGCACTCAACACTCAAGGCTCTTCATAGTACCCTGGCATATTCGTCAGCGTCTCCAGACCAAGTCTAGCAAGCCTTACATCATGGTGTCCGCACAAAGCCCTACTAACAAGTTGCTTCAAGAAGTCCATGTTCAGCACACCCGCAACCTTTGTGCTTTTCGGCTTAACACGTAAGGTTCAGATATGCAGTTTTCGGTGTGAGTGTATGAAATAATGATGATGTGGGACATGTGAAGCGGCATCGGAAGCAGTAGGGTGCTTCTTTCGAGGAAGTTCCGTATACCTTAAATCGCAGTACCGAGGCAGCAAGAATACAACTCGCGAATCCAGCTGGACGACATTATGGAGGCCCCGAAGCCCAGAGAGGGCAAGATCCTTTAACCAAGGGATGTCCTTAACTATTACCCATATTGGTACGATTATTATTATTATTGTTATATTATTTTGGGGGTTCCTGATTCTAATTCGACTTCTAAAGGGCCCAAAACAACCCTATTCTAATTATTGAGGCCCCTACATTGTATGCCTCACCTTAGCCTTAGCCTATGGTAAAGACCCTGAGACGGGAGGCTCATGGGAGTCTGAGAACTGCAGACTGGGACTCGTCAAGGCTCCAAAGCCTCCGAGCCTCTTTTGTTTTCAAGGCCCTGGGGTTTAGGGTTTAGGGTTTAGGGTCCCTGGGGTTTAGGGTTTAGGGTCCCTGGGGTTTAGGGTTTAGGGTTTAGAAGGCTTCATCTCGCCGTTTTTGCCTTCTAATTGCTCAACCTCAGAAAGCTCCAGCTTTGGTACTTGTTGGGTCTCTCTCCAAGACCGGGGCTGTGTTGAAGGCAGGAAAAATAGATAAGAGCATAGTCTACAATGGGCTGCATCATGTTGGAGTAGGATGTTGTTGCCTAGGGATCTCGACAATCATCCAGCTAGTGTTCATGCATGTATCCTCATTGCTTGCACTGCAACTTCCCAGGCCAGCAGTCCACGTCATAATAGTTCGACCCGGCGTTTTCATCTAGAGTGAAGTACCGAACATTACGACTCTGACCGTCTCCATTTCAATTCTCTAGGTCCCCTTTAATTGGCATTTAGACGCGTTTCGGTCTCGAATGTGTTTCGATGTCGGGCGAGAAGATTTCGCGTTAGATGCTACTTTTCGACTTGTTGGGATGTTCCGCTTTGCCGTCATTCCAAACCTGTCCTTTAAGGTGTCAGGGGTAGGTTGAAAGCCTCTGAAATAGGGGTTGGAATATAGTTCACACGTGACAGTGTTGCTTAGGGTTCCCAACTACACTTATGGCATGCGATACCACCGCATCTTACTCTGGGTATGAGGGGCCCTATATTCCCCTGAATCCTGCACTGAGGAGCACTTGAATAACATCTTCTGGCAATTTGTCATCTTCGAGGTCGATGCTTACGAGGACTTCGAGCCTTAGGCCCTTAACGCCTGGGGACCCTTCTTTTTTTGCCCAATAATACTTCTCCAACCTTAACTAACCCTAAAGCCCGGTGTTTTAAAGCCCTACACCCACAAGCCCGAAAGCACTACAGCCTGTACCCTAAACCCTAAAACCCGGAACCGCAACACCGCATGCAACGAAATCGGAAAGTAGACCCTTAACCCTAAACCCTCGAAAGAGCCTCAAACCAAAAGCCCCTGGTATTGAGGCTTCCAGGCAGGGCAGAACTGATAGGCAAATGAAACGGCAACCTGAATCGAAAACGCCAACAGGACGTCAAGACGAGTCGAAGTTACCCTAAGACCCGAAGACCCTAAACCCTAAACCCTAAGACAAGCACCGCAACCTGTCACCAAGGCTGCATTCTGCAGATGCATGTCAAAAGTTCACGCATCTCCCTAACATGTCATTGTGGACATGGCAAAAGGAGAATCATTGCAGAGCACGCTGGCAATAATCATAAAATCTAATATTAATACTGCTACTACTACTACCACTACTACTAATAATAATAAATAACAATAAACATGATAAGAATAATGATAATAATAATTTGCCTCGCACCGTCTGACCGTTGGCGGCAGGGCATTCTTGATAGCTTTTTTCTGTTGCATGCTCGAGGTGAGGCCGTCGGCAGGCGAGCATTGTGCGAATGAATCATTAGAGCAATTACGTCGCAATTTGAATCGAAGTTGGGTTTCCTTCATCTTTGCCCCAAAGCACCCAAGCCTAGAAGAAATACGGGCCCGAAAGCTCTAAACATAGCCCATGAACCCGAAGCCTAAGCCCGAAGTCCCTGAACCCAAAAACTCACGACCCCAAAGCTCGGATGTCTCGTTGCACCGGAGTTGCTCTGGGATCTTCTTCATCTCCCCACATAGGGCCCTTAATAAGTAGCATAGGTTTCGGGGGTATATTGAACTGTAATTATAATAAGGAACCCCCCCAAACCCTATTCTAATTGCTAAGGCACCTACATTAGGTGCTTCCGTTCAGGGGGTTCGGAGATTTGGGGAGGTAGAGTTTTTGGGGCGGGGAAGTGGGGTGTCTACAGTTTAAAGGGGTTTCAGGAAGTTTGGTGTGTGGTCTTTCGAGTCTAGAGAGTTCCTTGTCCTGTTCAGGTTTTGCGGTTTTGAGTAGGCTGAAGAACCGCGGGGCCTCGATCTGCGCCTCAAATTACGTCCTAAACCCCTGTTAGGGTTTAGGGTTTAGGGTTGAGGGATTAGGGTTTAGGGTTCCCAAATTTCATACCCCATGAAGGCCCGCTACCCGCTACCCCCACCCCCGCCCACCCCAACAGTGCGCTCTGAATGTGCTACACGAATTGGCAGCGGAATTTTGCAACCCACACGGTTGATGATATAAAACCTGCATTACCCATAATAAGGAATATACCATAATTCCCATAGTTCAGGGTTCTTAAGGTAATGCAGGATTTATATCATCAACAGTCGCGCCAAGAGCCGGTGACCGGAAGCACTTCTTGTCTAGTAGTAGTATTCCATCATCGTCCCCTGGTTTTTGGTATACAATGTACCCGAAAACCCTGCTCTAGCTCCTTCAGGCCCCGAAAACCTAAACCCTAAACCCTAAAACCAAAACCCAAATCCCTAAACCCTGAATCCCTAAACCCTGAATCCCTAGACCCTAAGCCCTAAAATCGTCATGACCTCAAACCTACAGTAGAAGCCAGAAAGTTGGAACATCATTATCCTCATGCCCTGAAGGTAGAATAGAGGGAATCCCAGCAATAATCATCCTAAATCCATGTTCCAACTTTCTGGGGTGCACTATAGCCTTCGGGCCAGGATGGGTCCGCCCCCGACCACCGATCTGGTGGAAGAGAAGCCACCTGAGAAGTCTGCCCCCTCTGTGCCACGGGGTTTAGGGGTTTAGGGGTTTAGGGGTTTAGGGGTTTAGGAGTCTAGGAGTGTAGGGGTTTAGGGTTTAAGGGTTTAAGGGTTTAGGGTTTAAGGGTTTAGGGATCAGGGTGCCGCTGTTTGCAAAGGGCTTTAGTAGGGTCTTCAAAGGTTTGATGTTGAGTTTTTTTTCGGGTTTTGAAAGGCTTATTGTGCGAGTCCTTTGGCTTCTTGTGCCACTTGAAAGTATCAGGGTTTTGGGGTGCAGAGTGTACCTAAACCCCTAAAAGCAAGTAAAATAATGGTCCAAAGCCAATAAAGGACTGTTATTTTACATACTTTGGGGGTCCAGGTAGGGTTTAGGATTTAGGGTGTTTTTTATGGTTTGGGATTTCCAGCTTGGGAGTTTCACAATTCTGGGCTCACGGAGCGCATGGTTTGGGATCTGCAAGCTCCAGCGAATCAAACGATCCGGAACAAGTAATGGGGTTTTGGGGCCCAATATACTTAAATGATAATAAGGAATCCCCAGAATCGTATAGGTAATTACTCAGGCTTGTGTATTAATAAAGTAATCCAGAGGCTCCACATATACTACCACTATGGAGTTGCCTCCCCAACGCGCATCCGTAGTATGGTTTTAGGGGATTAATTTAATTCCATACTCGCAGTAAATATATGGAGCCTCTGTGCAAGTTCCTTATGATCAGTAGCCGTAAGTACGCTACCCCTTCTTTTTCTGAAGACTTCATTTCTTTGAGGATCATGGGACTCGTTGAGTAGGTTGCGCGTAGAGGGTTTAGAGTTTTCGAGTTTGTGGTTGGAGGGTTTCGGTCGAGTTATTGGTCCTAAACCCTAAACCCTAAACCCCAGCCTAGTTGTTGGTGTCTATCTCAGTTGCATTTTTATACCAGAGCTTTTGTAGTGTCCGAGTGTAACGTGTTATGATTACACGCAGTACAGAAATCAATCGATTGAAACTTGCCTGCCGTAAGGGCCCATGTACTCAAACAGTATAAACTTTTGGCCTTAAAGTAGTCTCTATATGTACGTTGGGGCCAAAGTATATACTATTTGGGTTCGTGGACCATAAGGGTTGTATTGGTTGCAGATATTTGAGGACTTGCGCAGTCTCGCTCGCAATGAAGCCCTGACTCCTGGAGAGCCCGAAGTCCCCCTATCTGAACTGCTTGGGGTCCCGGAATTGCAGGTGAGGTTCACGGTTAACGTGTTCTGTTAGAATAACTTAGGATTAATTGGGGGATACATGTTCATGGTTCAGGCGTGGCGGTTGGCGGCTTGGCTTAGGGTCGGGGACTGGCGGCCGGCCGATCGCAACTCTGCGCCTGGCTCGAAGAACTGTGGATCGCATCAACCCTAAATCAACCCTAAGCCCGAAGCCTTAGCCGCAAGACCCAAACCCTAATCCCTATACACATCTAAAAACCCTAAACCCTAAACCCCCAACCAAACCTTGGCAAGGTTTAAAGTTGCAAGCTAGAGGCCAGTGAACCCACTTGTAACCTTTCAAGCCTAGACTCGGAACTCTGGAGCTGTGCTGGTCCTAATACCCTTCCTATAGTCTCCATTGTAGTTCCTTTTGCGGGTTCCTTATAGGATCCTAAATACAAGTTTTAACTTCGGTTTAACCAAAAATAGGAACTACAATGACTAAACCCTAAACCCTAAACCCTAAACCCCCAGCTTCAGACAGCGGTTTGTCAGAGTGCGTCGGATGAGACGTCCATGGACGAGGTCCCGACGGATGCGACTCTGGCACCCACAGGACCTATTAGGTTCAGGATTGAAGTTCGAAGGTTTAGGGTTCATGGTTTCGGGGTTGTGTTTTTGGTCAGGGTTTAGGGTTTAGAGTTCAGGGTTAAAGGCCTCAGAGTTCAGGGTTTAGGGTTTAGAGTTCAGGGTTTAGAGTTTAGAGTTCAGGGTTACGGGTTTAGGGTTCAGGGTTTCGTTAGGCTTTAGGGTTTTGATTTCATTTGGAAGGTTTAGGGTTCAGGGTTAGGACCTTGGGGATTCGTGCTCTATCCTATCCTATCCTATCCTATCCTATCCTATCTTATCCTATCTATCTAGCTATCGATCGATCTACCTGTCCGCCTGTCGTTTTATCCACGATCTGTGTGTCTCTATGTGTCTTTATTCAGTTATCCACCCTCCTGTCAATCTATCTGGCTCTCTGCCTCTCTCTCTCTCTCTCTGAGTGTTTCTCTCTCGCTAGTGATTTGTCTGTTCTGATGTCTTCAGTGTTCCCTGATTCAGTCTATTTGTTTCCTTTCCTTGCCATCTACCTTCGTCCTTAGTCCACGTAATATGCACACATGCGCACACAGAGACAGATGTATAGACAGACATACAGTGCAGCACCCGACTTTGACGCAACAGAAACATGGTGCAGCATCCTATGTATTTGTGGAATACACCCCGTAAGAATGAGGCTTGCGCATTACGGACCCTTTGGGTTTGTGATCTCGGACCGCCTGAGCACTTAACACCTCACGACTTAAATAATCCCGTGCACCAGAATTACTTTAAGGATCATGGGACTTAGTAGCTAAGGTTATTATTAGGGTAACTATACTTATAACTACTTGTAACCGCAACAAAGGTACTTATAGCAATACTTACTAAGTCCCATGATCCTCCAAGTAGACCCAAAACCCAAAACCCTAAACCGTAAACCCCTAGACCCTAAACCCTAAATTTTAAACCACAGCCCTGCTCATCAGAATTAACCCTAGACCATCAAGCCCTAGACCTTGCGTTGATCGTCCCTGCACCCGAGCTCTATACTCCGAAAGCCATTGTCACGGCCCCTATGGTCCACGGACTCCATAAGATAGGGCCCCTTATAATAACCACTACTATTTTGGGGGGGTTTCCTGACTATAATCATGGTATAGTACCCCCCACCCAAAAAAACCCTATATTTTGAGGCCCCTACATGAAGCCTCTGGTTCCTTAACCCTGCGGACTAACCTACAACGAGCGCCCGGAACCTCACTATCTCCTCGGGGTGCTTGTATATCCCAAACCCATCATATACCCCAAACCCTAAATCTCAAACACTAAACCCCAAACTCTTAA